GTAGACTAGATGACCTCTAAAGGTCCCTTCCAACCCAAACCGTTCCATGATTCTATGACTTTTTTTTTTTTTTAAAATGTGAAATGGAAACATTGTTAGCAAACCTCTAATAACCTCAGCAGCCATCAACCATCTTGACATTTTAAAATGCACCAAAAGCAGGAAGCAAGTTATTTATTCTCAAAAGTCGCCAGAAAAGCAACACAATCAGGATCACGCTCCCCAAAACACTTTAGGTGTGGAAATGAGCCCAGTGTATGCATGGGTCATGTTTCCAGAAGACTGCATGAGGAAATACACGTATTTGTCTCAGCCTTTCCATGGTACTTAAATGCTTATCAGTTTAATATTACTCATTAGTGTAACGCTTAGAAATGTATCCAGACAATGTTCTTCATAACAGTGGCAATTCCCATCTGAATTACATCCAAGGATTTTCTTTAAAAAGTTTCTTCTTGCAGTCTCTCATCTTGGACCAATGCATAGAATAATGATGTTAATAATGTGTATTATTATGTGAATGCCTACCTGTGTTCATTTACCAAATCATGTTTTGTCTATGATCATTTTCAAATACTACAAATTAAAGCATGAGTTCATAATTTTCTTTACACTATTTATGTTCACTCAAAAAAAAAAATTATAGATAACAGCAAGTAGAAAATAATACACTACCCGATGCAGAGAAGTGTTCTCTGTTTCATTTGTCTAACTTGCCAAATCAACTTTGACAATCAAAACATGATTTTGAAGTCATGTCCCACAAATACCTAGGACTATCTAGAACTAGTGGACATACTTCACTGAAAAAAGTGAAAGCATTACACATTTCTAATGAGGAAAAAATTAAGTTTTTAGACATGGTGGTTCACGTTTCACTTTAGTAAAGAGTCACTTGATCCATTTTCCAGAATATGCTCCATACTTTGGCATAAATGCAAAACTGAGCAACAAATTTGTGCCACTGTAACATTTTCCCTTTCGTGTTACAAGCAACTACCACAAAACATACCATCCATTCTCATCCTTTGATCAAGTTAGGATAGAAGATCCAGCAGCAAGTACACATGAAGTGTGTAAAAAAAAAAAAAAATAGGACACAAAGCAGAAGGAAGAATCCAAAAAAAATCATGGCACATGTCAAATCTGAAAATGACAAACTGCCATTTTCTATACTACTGTGCCTCACTGCAAGAACAGTAACTGTAATTGAGGAGCAGCACTCAAACTGACCTTAGAAGGTATATATGACTATGCCTTTAATAGCCAATACAGCAGGCTAACATTCTTCTCAGGCAATTAACGACTTATTACTAACAGTCACACTGAAACAAAACCACACCACACAGAATAAACCTACTTGTCACTAGATAAAAACTTTGCAAAACCTCTATTAAGTGGGATATCAGACAAGTACTCACAATGGTAACTAAAAAAATTCTTTCCTTCATCCTTCCCCAGCTTTCCACCAGGCACGGAATATTTGACTTGTAAGGCCCAGACAACTAATAAAGACATGTTATTATTACATAGAGGAACTTTTCTGCTACCTGAGAAAGACCAATATATCATATAGCTCAAAGAAAAATTCTTTTTTGGAAAAAAACCAACAGCGTACTGCTACTCCTATTTGGGAGGACATGGGGAGCCGAGGGCTGCTCAGCAGCTTCGGCAGGCAAGAGAATATAAACCCTCTGAATGAGATAGTTATCTCCGTATCGCCCATGTAAATCTGAGTGCTAGCAGAATAGTTCACTCTGGATCAGAAAGCAAAACAAAAGTAAAGACTGTCCATCTTTCCACTCCTAGTCCCATGATTTATGCTGTAAATAGAGTATTATAACTCAAATAGCCTTCTTTCCTTTCTCAACCTACGGAAACACTTAAGTGTAATTCTATCCTCATGAAGTATGGATATTCAAGTAAGTATATACTTGAAGTATATGCCGCAAGTATATTTAGAAACTGTAAGAAAAATAAAGTTTAAAAACTAGCTCTATGCTTCACTTTCTTTGAAGATGCCTGTCCTGGATTCAGCTGGGATAGAGTTAATTTTCTTCCTAGTACCTGGCATAGTGCTGTGTTTTGGATTTAGTAGGAGAAGAATGCTGATAACACACTGATGGTTTAGTTGTTGCTAAGTACTGATTATGCTAGTCAAGGACTTTTCAGCTTCCCATGCTCTGCCAGGTGCACAAGAAGCTGGGAGGGGGCACAGCCAGAAGAGTTGATGCAAACTGACCAAAGGGCTATTCCATACCATATGACATCATGCTCGGTACATAAACTGGGGGGGGGGCGGGAGGCAGCAATCGCTGCTCGGGAGCTGTCTGGGCATCGGTCAGCGGGTGGTGAGCAATTGCATTGTGCATCACTTGCTTTGTATATTATTATTATTATTGCTATTATTAATAATATGTTGTTATTGTTACTACTACTATTTTAATTTATTTTATTTCAATTATTAAACTGTTCTTGTCTCAGCCCAGGAGTTTTTCCTCACTCTTACTTTTCTGATTCTCTCCCCCAACCCATCAGTTGCTTAGTTGCTGGCTGGGGTTAAACCACGACAACGCTAAATGCAAGACCTTGCAAGTTGCAGGTAACAAAGTTTATTACTACCTGGAAGGCTGCTAATATTTTACCTCAAAACATAATTAGATATAAACATTATACTACTCTATGTGGTTATTTCATTCAGAAGAAGAACCATCTCGCTGTAAAATCCTGCAAATTGTCCCTGCAGACTTAAAACAAATTGCAAGACAACCACTGATCTCACAGATGTTTTCCTTTAACCTGTTCACTGAAAGTTCAACATACTGCCTAAATTACAAAATAATCTGCATATGGAAACATGTTGTCTCCCAAATGGATTCAAACAAAAAAGAATTTGACAGATACATCATAGGTCTTAATTTTAAAAGAAAATAACAGTTTACTTATAGTTGCTAAGTGATAGCATTTGAAATTCTGCTGTATTCTCCCACATGGGAGTTACATACATTTTCAATCTATGTTATTGTTTGTGGTAATTATAGCTAAATGTTGATTGTTAAATAACAACTAATGTATATTGAAAAAAAAAATTTAACATGAATTATTTAGAAAGTCATTGCAAACTTCTAGTCACCTGCAGCAAGTCATTCAGAAAAAACACGCACATTTTTATCTGAATCAGCAGAGAGCTGAGAAGATTTTAGCTCTACAGTGGAAAAATGCATCCAGTTTATTGCCCCCCCTACTCCCATACTCACCAGAAAAACTTAAAGATCTATTTCTAGGCTGCTTTTGCTGGCATATCACAGAAAGAAAAATACTCCTGACACTGAGAAAATTTTAGGGGCAGAGGACTTACGAGAACACTAAAAAAAAGTAATAAATTATCTCAAGTCATTTTTAAATTGGGCTTTACTTCTCCCTCAGCATCACCTACCCTCATCCCTTACTTAACGTCGCAACGCCTCCACATACACCTGCAGCAGGCCAACAGCACTGATACCCGACTAACAACGAAGGGTGCAGGATCCAGCCCATCACTCACCCAGTAGCTCTCGGGTCGTATGCAGACGCCTCCAGCGTCCTCGAGCG